TTGTTTTGAGACAGAGTTTCGCTCTTGTTGCCCAGGCTGGAGTACAATGGTGTGTTCTCAGCTAACTGCAACCTCTTCCTCCTGCGTTCAAATGATTCTCGTGCCTCAGCCTCCCAAGTAGCTGGGATCACAGATGCCTGCCACCATACTTGCCTAATTTTTGTATTTTTTAGTAGAGACGGGGTTCCACCATGTTAGTCAGGCTGGTCTCAAACTCCTGACCTCAGGGCATCCAGTCACCTTGGCCTCCTGCAGTGCTGGGATTACAGGCGTGAACCACTGCACCTGACTGACTTTGTGTTTCATGTGTTAAGTTCCAGGAAGGGGAGTAGAATTGAATAATTCATTATTTTGGTAATACAGATACTATAAAGTCATGCTCATAAAATAATGCAGATTCTCCAGCAATCAGAATATGCATTTCTTAACATCCAAACTAATGGCAGCTTCCTAGAAATCACTGTGCACCCCCCAGTAATGGCATCATTGCAATTTATGTCATGCATTATTCTTTCTTTCTTCAGTCTTGCTGGCCACCCTGATTATCCATTTTCAGATGAATATTAACATGGAGGACTTGCATGAGTTTCCCTACCAGAACCCCTGTGTGTGGATGGTGACACAGAGGACGTTTTTATGCTGGTGACTGGCTAAATCTACCCTGCTTAGAGACTTCAGTTAGCAGAATATAAGTCCATAGGCCAGAAGGGAAAGATAATAAATTTGTTTTCTCTTTGAAAAAATTCAGTGCTCTCTTCTAAAGATTCTTTACCTACTTAGGTCTCCATTATTGTATGTTTTCTTTCTTTCTGACTCATTAGCTCAAAATGATGATTTGCTTATAAGTTAGGATCAGGGGGTGGGAGATGATGACAACCATTTTATAGACATTTTTAGGTGGGCATGGATGATTTCCAACTTCTGAATAAGGAGCTGGTGACAGGTATAGATCAGCGCAACTTTAGCTATTTGAGGAAAAAGAACACACACAGCATGGAGTCTGGAGGGTGAGGGATACTGACAGGATGACTAGGAATCCATGAACTTCCTCCAGCAGTGTGGGGATCAGATTCCTGGGCTCCTTTCCAGAGCCTAGGAATGAGGCAACCCTGTGGGAGGGGTGTTCAGTGAGGAGGGAGGGCACCCACCCAGGAGAAATGATTAGACATGGGATATGGAAGAGGTTTAGAAGGAGGGGGTTGAGTATATGTATGCTTGGAAAAACACATTGGCACCATTTTTTGGATAATTATATGTTGTATATAAAAGGAAACTCTCTCCACAATGTTTTAAGAAATGCTAGAGCTGAGAGTCAGGCCTGGACCTCTGATGTGTGCCCAGTTACAGCACTGACTCTATTGGGCTGTGGTGGGACAGGACATTGAGCACACCATTGACTGATCGGATTCCCCTAAATACCAACCCCATCTTTAGAGAATGTTCTTAGATTCCAAAAATATGCTATTAATTTATTATACTTGATCTTTTTAAATGTTTCATACATAAAATAAGGCATGCTTATAAGTATAAAAGACAAAATGCCTTAAAGCCGTTACATATTACTCTCAAATTAAGATCAAAATGATGAATAATACATCTAATAAAGCAAACTCTCCAAAATCCCAAAAATCTCTTGGAAACAGTGTCTGCACAAAATTGCACAAAGTCTTCAAACTTTAGTAAATGTTGGGAACAACTCTTACAAAGACATGTAATACTTTTACATAGCTTTTAGGGGTACGAAGTAAATCAGCTAATCATGACATAAATTTGCATTTCAGAAAACTCTTTTGAAAACTTGGGGTACCCTGGTGAAAGCATTTTGAGGACAGTGGTTCTTGACCTGGACACGCTAACACTTCCACTCTCAACCGTTCTTACTCTGGCAGCCATATTAACCCCATTAAAGAGGCTTTCTCAAGCCAGGTCTCCCAGCACATCTTGCAGCCCACAGTCTTTCCTTAAAGTATTTGTTCCTTAAAATTGAGGGAGGCTCTGAACTTTGGAGTGCCCTAGGCCAATTTCTTGGACTGTTTTCCATCTACTCTCATTCCCTTGATGATCTTTGGCTTTAAATACTACCTCTAGGTTGAGAAATACTCCAAAAATATTTGTAGCTGAGCTTTCCCTCCAAACTCCAGAATGGAACATAACAATGTGTGCTCTACATCTCCGTGTTAGTGTCTAGTAGACATTCACCCTTAGCATGCCTCAAACAAACCATGTAAACCACTGCCATCCTGTTCCACCTCAACTGTCTTATTTTAAGAAATAATTATTTTGCACCTCATAAGGTTGATTGATGTAATTACCAAGAAAAGAGTGACATTTTCTCAACAGTTACTAGTCAAGTGTGTAACTCCTAAGAAAAATTTTAAATGTCAAATTTCTTTAGCAGGAATAACATGTTTTTCCAGATGTGAATAATCATTAGGGCAGTTATTTGTAAATACCAAATCTGCTACAGGCTTATTCCAGCCAGTTCTTCACTTAGCTCTCTATTTCCACAAAACTCTTAGTGGAAAAAAAAAAAAAACTTCTAATTTCTTAAAGCTCAACACTTGGTTTTTCAGGAACAGTTGGGAATGTAACAAAATTGTATAGGGACCGCCAATCCCTGATTCATTATTTTTTTCTCTACAAGAAATGCTGAAGCAAATAATTCAGGATGAAGAAAAGGAAATATAAAGAAACTGGCAGCCATTTAGACCTATAAAGGTGTCTAGTCAATGTGCATATGTAGCAAAATATGAAAACATGTATTTTTGAAATTTTGGAATTGTACTCTATTGTTCTTCAAGATTAAAAATATGAATGTGTACAAATAAGTATAATTCTAAGTTAATATGTACACCATGTAGAAAGCTGTAATTAGTGACAAAACAATGTGAAGTGGAGTAAAAACCTGGGGAAAGGGAGAGTTTTTATATAAAATTTAAGTTACATTGACATCGATTCAAAGTAAATTGCTATAATTTTACTAAATTGTATGTCATCCCCACAGCAATCACAGAGTATAACTGTGTTGGGATATACTCCACAAGGAATGAGAAAGGAATACAAATGTCATTTAAAAAAAATCACACAATCTTACAAAATGGTAGTAACAGTGAATATTAAGGACAAAAAGCTATAGACAGTGGGAAACATTGAAAATGGCACAAGTAGCCAGGTGCAGTGGCTCCCGCCTGTTATCCCAGCACTTTGGGAGGCTGAAGCAGGCAGATCACTTGGGGCCAGGAGTTTGAGGCCAACATGGTGAAACCTCATCTCTACTAAAAACACAAAATTAACCCAGGTGTGGTGGTGCAAGCCTGTAACCCCAGGTACTCAGAAGCCCCGGAGGCAGAGGTTGCAGTGAGCCAAGATTGTGCCACTGCACTCCAGCCTGGAAAACAGAGGTAGTCTCTGTCTCAGCAAAAACAAAACAAAACAAAACAAAAACAAAAACAGAAAAAGAAAATGGCACAAATAACTCTTTTCCTGTCACAAATGACAGTCATATGTTGTGTAATGCCTGGGCTATCTTCTGAGAAAGGCTCTGTTACGCAGCTCCGTCATTGTGGGGACATGAAAGCGTGAAGAGAAAATTCTCTCAAACGAGGTCATTACCTCATCAACTTCGTTTATGTCGTATTATAAATCCTTTGTTGCTGTCATTTCAGGAATGTTTATAGCATCTTCAGCAGAAGTGGAATCCATTTCACCAAACCAGTTTCTTTGCTCATCCATAAAAGTAGCTTCTCATTTGATAAGATTATCATAAGATTGCAATCATTCAGTAATATTCAAGCTCCAATTTTAACTATAGTTCTCTTACTACTTCCACTGTGTCTGCAGTTATTTTCTCCACTGAAGTCTTGACTTCCTCAAAGTCATCCATGAGGGTGCTAGTACATAAACAGGCCCATGGACCAAGGGAACAGAACAGAAATCCCAGAAATAATGCTGCAACCTGCAGTCATTCAGTGAGTGATGCTGTGATAACTAGCTAACCGTGTGCAGAAGATTGAAACTGGAATGCCTTCCTTACACCGTACTACAAAATCAACTCAAAATATATTAAAACCTTAAGTTTTAAATCTAAAACTATGAAAAACCCTTGAAGACAACCCAGGAAATACCATTCTGAAATAAGCCCTGGCAAACATTTCATGAAGGCACCCAAAGCAATTGCAACAAAAACAGACAAGACAAGTGGACCTAATAAACTGAACAGCTTCTACACAGCAAAAGACACTAGCAACAGAATAAACAGACAACCTGAAGAATGGAAGAAAATGCCCACACACTGTGCATCTGGTGAAGGTCTAATATCCAGAATCAACAGGAAACTTAAACAAAATAACAAGCAAAAAAGGAAAAGAAAAACAACCCCATTAAAAAGTGGGCAAAATACATGAAGAGACGCTTTCTAAAAGAAGACATACTTGTGACAAACAAGCATATGAAAAAAAATGCTCAACATCACTGATCATTAGAGAAATGTAGATCAAAACCACAATGAGATACCATTTCATACCAATCAGAATGGCTGTTACTAAAAAGTCAAAACATAACACGTGCTGCAAAGGTTCTAACAGAAAGAGAATACTTATATTATACACTGCTGGTGTATTAGTTCAACCATTGTAGAAAGCAGTGTGGCAATTTCTCAAAGAACTTAAAACGGAATCACTATTCAACCCAGCAATCCCTTTATTGGGCATATAACTAAAAGAATATAAATCATTCTATCATAAAGACACGTGCATGCATATGTTCATTGTAACACTGTTCACAATTAGCATAGTCATGGAATCAAACTAAATGCCCGTCAACACCAGACTGAATAAAGAAATGTTTACATTCTCACAAAATTTATATACCACACCTTAACCTCCAAGATGATGATATTAGGAGGTTGGTACTTAGGAGTTAATTATGTTACTGGAAGAGGGTGTACAGGTTCTTGGCGTCTTGAACAAAGAATTGGACAAAATGTACAAAAAAAGCAAGGAAAGAATGAAGCAGCAAAAGGAGATATTTATTCAAAATGAAAGTACACTTCACAGTGTGGGAGTGGGCATGAGCATAGGGCCCCATTACCGAATTTGTGGCGGTTTAAATACGCTCTAGGGGTTTCCATTGGTTACTTGTTTTATGCTCTATGTAAATGAAGAGGACGAAGTAAAGTTACAAAGTCATTTACTTGGCGTACACCCTATGGAAAGAATATTTCCTGTCATAGCTGAAGTGTGAATTGGCCTTATGTTACCTGCCTCCAGACACTATTTTCTTGACTCATTTCCCCACTGAGAGATGTGATCCTCATAAATCTTTATGGGAGGCAGAGGGACAGATGATCTTTCTTCTGGAGCTGCTTCATGCTGGCTTGGGGTGCAGTCCCTACCTACTGAGGATCACAGAACTCTCACTCTGCTCTGTTGAGTGGAGGCAGGGTAGCTCCTTGATGGCCAGGAGTGGTGTCTTTACCTGGAATTGGCTGCATGGTCATCTGAAGCCTTTGTTGCATGGTCATCTGAAGCTAGATGGTCTCTGGGTGAGAGGAAATGAATTTGGTTAAAACATTTAATGGGAACTTCAGGGGTGGATATCTACGCTGTCGAGAATGTTTGTTATCGAGATTTGCAAGAGAAAAAAAAATTTGTTTGTGATGTTTGTGATGTGTTCTAGGATCTGTGTGTTTCCTTAAAGTCTTAGAACTAGCGACTCCATTTTGGATTGATTTGGTCTGTTGAGGCTTAGTGCATGCATAAGCCCCGTCCAAAACAACGGCCTCCTATAGTTTTGTTTAAAAACTTTCCACTTTTTGATCAGGTTCTCACTTAGGTGAGAGTGTGACCAAAACTTAGGGCCTTAGTGCCACTCTCAGTACCATCATTTTGGGTTTCCCATCTCAGCATGTCATTGATAGGTTACAGTGTCCTCATGTTTGCACATTTCTTTCAACTCCTGTCATTCCAGTCGAAGAGAGACCATATGACATCCTAGAGATGGTTGCATGTAAGAATTTAAAACCTTTCTTTGAGAGAATATAGTGCACCAAGGAGACTATTATTATGACTATTGGGAGGATAATACCAAGAGTTTGGAGTATGCTCCTCACCCAAGGTCCCCATAAGCCAAACCTCCTAAAATAAAATAGATTAAAGAATGAGCTAGATAAAGAGTCTACTCATGTAACTTAGCAGTCTCATCTCCTTCACTGAATTTCTATAATCTTCATTTAATGTATTTTTCCATAAGTCATAAGTGCCAGCAGCAGCATAGATACTTTTCTGTTCATCCAATTCTATTATAATTTTCACAGAAGAATTTAAAGTCTGTTGTTTTAACTGTAGCCTTTACAGTAAAATTTGCTATAGAGCGTATAATGGAGGATACATTTCTATTCATTGCTTCTGTACTCTAAACCATGGAAAAAGCACTTAACAAATGATGCCCTTCTAGAAGAGTAAAGGCACCCTGGCAATGTTCTCTTTAACCCATTATGTGGATTAAGAGGAGTGAACCAATGTTTGTTTGTTTGTTTTTGAATGATTTGTTTGTTTTGAATGATTATTAGGCAACATATGTACCATTTAAGTTTCTTACTTACCTTGGGCCTTTATCCTTTATCTGTCAAAGTATAAGGTTATCCATGTGTAAAGCTGCCTGCAAACTCCTTAACAAATAAAAGTACACCCCATAAGTGCACATAACAGATCCCTTTTCCATTTCTGTTGTTCACAGAGGCATAATCAAGTAAAAACATTAAAAGATAATAATTTCATGACAGAAGTCTTAATCTGTGAACTTGGGAAAAGATATTCACATCAAGGATGCCATCTTCATTTTGGGAGAAATTTCCCTGGTTAGTTTGACCTTAAGGGCTCCAATGTGTGTACAGTTCCAAGAGTGTGGAGGGACCTTTCTCAGTTGTGAGATCATGAACCCAAAGTTCAAGGTCCAAAGTTTTGTTGTAGTGTGGGTGGCTAGATCTTTGGATATTCTCAGAAGATCCAATTAAAAGCTTTTTTTACCTGGTGAAAATATACTGTAGCATAATAATCTACTGTTATAACATGAGCCCTCTTGCTTGGGGAAGCTTTTATACAACCAGAAAACATGCATTGAAAATAACAATCGAATGACACCCTTTTATAAAATGTCTAAATGGCCCACCAGGTGACCAAATGCACCTGAAGCTTTGCTTTCCCAGCAATATGGGGCCAAACAATAGTTATAAACTATTTTAGTAATTTGTAAGTTACCACACCAAGGTATTCAAATTGGATTATTTTATCTTTCCCATGGTGAGTCATAGAATGTAGAACTTTTAATAATAAATGCTTTAAGGACTCAGGAAGGACAATCTGGCCATCCTGGTTCTCCATGACTCTAAACTTGATTAATATTAGACTTATATCCTCTTGGATACCAGTTCATTCTCCAAATTAGGTACATTGTACTGATAGCTGGTGAGTTACCATGGGTGATGAACTCAGACCAAGGAGTTTATTCCAATTGTATATTTAAACAATTTTAGTATTAGCTTGTTTAACATGAAAATCCGACAAAGTATTTTCTTGGTATTTGATTTTTTGTTGTTGTTGTTGTTTTGCTTGGATTAGTAGCTTTATACCAGAAAATTTGGTTATTGCTATGGTTTATAGTAACATAATAATCATAATTATAGTTGATGGCATATAATTAGACATTTGAATTTTAGAAATTCCATATAATCTTGGAACATATATTAGTATTATTCACAAAATATAACCTAAAGAAGATTGAACATCATTTTGGTGATCCCATGTACCTAAATATGTTAAATAATCCTGTTTACCTCTTTTCTGGATGTTTTCAGGGGCCATCTGATCCATCCAAAAAGCCAGGCATTAGAAAAGACAATTTTGAAACTGAAGTTTGATTTTGGAATTCCAGATTGCCCTAAATTACTTATTTTGCCAAAATGATGACTCAGAAATTTTAAAGAAGCAAAAACCCTTTATAACCTTTTACACATTTTACTATTCTTACACATCTTGCATAAAAAACTGTTTCTAATCATCTTAATTGCATGTTAATGGTGACTCCTAGCAATTTTAATTGTAACGTAAAACCTGTTAAGTTGTGTTCTGATACGATTAGGCTGTTTCCAGCATAGTTAGGGGCATGGCCAACTCCCCATGGAGAGCAGGTGGCAGGGACTCAGGGGCACGTTCAGGCAGGCAGAGGGGAGAAGAGATGAGACCACAGGGAATGCTGGGAGCCTCCCAAGGAGGCCTCTTTCATCCCAGAAGCCCCCAGGGCCATCCCAAGCGGGCTGTCCTCAGGCCTTACCTAACTGGAAAGGAGGCAAGTTAAATAATTTTCAAATGCCAAAGAAGTAGTTTATGACCTTAAAGCATTTAGCAAACCTAACATTTGAACATGACTTATACCACATGTTTACATTTTCAAGACAGCTATATTTTACTGATAATCTTTAAAACTGTTTATTTCCTAAAGATTACTCAAGTCACATGAACTAAATAAAAAGCATTACATTTTTCACTTTTCTGATGAAATATTTGATTTAAGCTCTTATGTGATTATTAAACCAATTAATTTAAAACTTTACAGAAGGGACAAACAGTGACTTTTACCCTTCGTTTAACTAGTTTGCACAGAGCAAAAGAGACCAGAAACTGACTGGCAAGAAATAGTCTTTTGCCAACATGTCTGGTTTCTGGGTTCTTTCTCCCTGAGTGGCCCTAGGGACCCTGCTCAACTGTATGCAGACAAACATATTGCCATGAATTAAGAATATTCACAAATAGTTTACAAATTTTGAAGAAATTAGGCAGAGAGAGAAGTAGAATTCAAATTCTATTTATGAAAGTATACTCAACATGCTTAAAGTGTCAAGAAGCCTAAAATCCAAAAAGTTAGTTTAAGGATAGAAAGATAGTGTGCTCCATTAATTGCTGCAGGCTCCACAAAGGTAGCTTAGAAATTCCAGGCAAATGGAAAGAAAGATGACTTGCAAGGAATGCATAGGAAACAAAATAATTATTCACAGAACCAAATAAAAGCCTTCCACTAGGAACTAAAAGACATAATGGTTTTATATATATAAACAAGCAAAGCCAGAGGAGAATAAACAGCAAATGGGCTGGGTGTGGTGGCTCATGCCTATAATCCCAGCACTTTGGGAGGCCAAGGTGGGTGGATCCATGAGGTCAGGAGTTCAAGACCAGCCTGGCCAAAATGGTGAAACCCGATCTCTACTAAAAATACAAAACAGAATAGCTGGGGTGGTGGCGCATGCCTGTAATCCCAGCTACTTGGGAGGCTGAGGCAGGAGAATCACTTGAACCTGGGGAGGTGGAGGTGCAGTGAGCTGAGACATCATGCCACTCGCACTCCAGCCTGGGCAACAAGAGCAAAACTCTGCCTAAAAAAAAAAAAAAAAAAAAAAAAAACAGCAAACAAATGAAAACGAGAAGCAAAAACTAAGCAGGAAACCAACTCTAAATTTTTCTACTCAATTTACCCTGGAGGCTAGAGTGTTACTGAGGGGCCTCCAAAATTCCACATAATGCATATATTGTTCCTAATACACAATTTAATATCCTTAGGTTCACTAATATTATTATACATTGTGTGCCATCAAGAAACTCACTTTAGGCACAAGGCCAATAATTACTCTAGCACTATCCATGCAAAATGATAGACATAGTGTGAAGAAATGCAAGCATGTTTGTGAAATTTGGCTCCACACTAGCTTCATGCTTCAGTATATCAGAAAAAGAATTGTCAAACTGCTGATGCATTTCTTTACAATAATTCTTATTTTACTTTATCAAGACTAACAGCCTTAACTATGAAAATGTTTGTTAGCTAAACGTCTCCAATTCTCTCTCAGGTTTACAAAATATTTTATTATTTAAACTTTGTCCATATCTTTTCCCCCACTTAATGGTTCCTTAATACATTGTTTCATAAATAACCTTCTCAAATCTGTAATTTGAACTAACCTTTTAGATAACTTCTGATTTAGACAAAATTAATTTTTTTTCTCACTAATAACAATCTTTTCTGGCATATTTTGCCTACAGAATTATGTGTTAACTAGAATTCTTCTCCTTACAACCTAAAACTTATGTGAAACCCTACCTAAGAAGCAAGAATTCCTGGCCAGGCATGGTGGTTCATGCCTGTAATTCCAGCACTTTGAGAAGCCAAGATAGGTGGATCACTTGAGGTCAGGAGTTCAAGTGAGCCTGGGAAACATGGTGAAAACCCCTGTCTACTAAAAATACAAAAATTAGACTGGCGTGGTGGCAGGCGCCTGTAGTCCCAACTGCTTGGGAGCCTGAGGCATGAGAATCGCTTAAACCCGGGAGGCAGAGGTTGTGGTGAGCTGAGATCACACCATTGCACTCCAGCCTGGGCAACAAGAGTGAAACTCCGTCTCAAATTAAAAAAAAAAGAGCCCTTCCCGCTTCTGGGCAGGGCAAAGAGTCCCATTCATTCCTAGGCCTTCAGGCAATACCAGGGAGTGACTCCAGCCAATTGCTCTCAATTTTCAAGGAGCTACTACAAAGCAGTTGTTGAAAGGCTGAAAATGAAAGAAAGGAAAAAATAAAATAAAATAAAGACCCAGGTCCCTTAAGCAAACTGGGTGGTGGCGGTTAGGTGCCTTCACATGGACACCCTTAGTTTTCACTGGACATAGCCAGAATCCTGCAGTGTTCTCTGTGTTTAGGCACTGCCCACCAAGTGTCCCAACTTGGAAAAGAAAAAAGAGAGAGAGCAAGAGATTCCCCTGCATGAAACAGAAAGGAGAGGGGAAAGGAAAAAAATAAATCCTAAACTTTGGACCTACCTTCTCCTGGCTGGCCCAGCAAAATATGTTACCAGTCGAGGGTGTCCAGTTTCCCAGCTTCTTGAACAAAGAATTCGACAAAACACACAAACCAAACAAAGAAATAATGAAGCAACAAAAGTAGATATTTACTGAAAATAAAAGTACACTCCACACTGGGGAAGTGGGCCTGAGCGTAGTGGCTCAAGGGCCTCGTTACAGAATTTGTGGGGGTTTAAATACCCTCTAGGGACTTCCACTGGTTACCTGGCGTACACACTGTGTAAATGAAGAGGATGAAGTGAGGTTATAAAGTCATTTACCTGGAATATGCACTATGGAGAGGATATTTCCTGTCATAGCTGAAGTGTGAATTGGCCTTATGTTCTCTGTCTCCAGACCCTATTTTTTCTGCCTCAGTTGGGTCTTGAGTGTGGAACCGTAATAAATGGGATTAGTGTCCTTGTTAAAGAGATTCAAGAGAGAGTGCTTGTCCCTTTTGCGACATGAGGATAGAAAGAGGATAGCTGTCTGTGGGTCACGAAGCCTCACTAGACACTACATTTGTCTGCACTTGATCTTGAGCTTCTCGTCTCCAGATTTGTGAGAAATCCATGTCCGATATTGATAACTGAGCAGTCTGCAGTCTTTTGTTATAGCAGCTGTCATGAACTAAGAGAGCCTGTTAGAAGGAGGCATAGACTTAACCAGTGTTTTGGGGGTATTTTAGGAGCCCTGATACGTGATCTTCGTGTGTGTTTTGCTTCTATGAGGTGGTATTGATGGGGTGAAGTGGATTGTTCCAACTACTCTGGCAACATTTCTTTTTGTTGCCTCACAATGGATTTCCACTTATTTACAGAGAATTATATGGCTATATCTTACTGTGCTTTATGTTGCTATAACAAAATAACTATAACTGGCTGGTTCTTAAACAATAGAGGTATATTTGACTAATGGCACCAGAGGCTGGAAAGTCCAAGGCCATAGTGATCTCATCCGATGAGAGCCTTCCTGCTGTGGTGTTCCGTGGTGCAAAGCAGGAGAGTAAGAGATCAGGAGCAAGAGAATAAAAAAGCAAGGGAGATCAGAGGCAGAGGCTCTCCCTGGTCTCATGGGCTCTGTCTATTCCCTCTCTACATAATGAGAGTAAAATCCAAAGAGCATGAGGACTGAATCAAATACGACAAAGACCCTCTAGAGGCATGCCAGTGCTGGTAACACCTGTGACAAGTTTTTCACAACTCGCAATGAGTAAGGCACAGACCACCCCACATGGTGGCACAGCTTCTCTTCTTCAACAGACTTTCCCCAGGCTCCTCTGAGTCTCTTTTTAAATAGGCCTCGCCTTGGTCTGTAAGGATCTGAACACACTCCAACATCATTTGTAACAGTTCAAGGCTACATCCATAGATAACCACACCCTGTTAAAGAGCCAGCCTGAGAAAACTCACAGCTTCCAAAAGAATTCAGTATTTGTTCCAGCAATGTCTGAAGAAATGCCTGTCTCCCAGTTTCGTAGAAGGGCAGGAGTCCAACTTCCATTAGTTCCAGTTATCAAACCTAGAGGGACTAATCACATGGCCCAAGCAGCCCCTTCCTACTTTTTGTAATTTTCCACTTGGCTGATTCTACTCAGTCGCTGCTCAGCCTTTCCCTGCTCCCCCATTTTCCTTTTAAAATGCTGAGTCACCTTGTATAATCATAGTTCAGTTCAGTTCGCGCTGGACTTCTTCTCTCATGCAATGTTAGGTTATTGATAAAACCTGTCCTCCCCGTGTTAATCAGTACCCAACTTTCTTTGTCTTTGACTTTAGCAGTAGCAGAATTTGCTTTTTATGGCTTTTGTGATTTAATAGCTACAGACAGGTGGGAATGAAGATCAGCTTATATGACACTTATCTCTGGGTTCTAGTACTACTGAGCAGCAATTTCAGTATTAGGAATTTACAAATGTGTTTAATTTATTGCCAAACCCTGGTATAAGTCAAAATAAATGCTTATATTTGATCACTAAAAGACGAGATAATGATCCACTTCAGGGAGGAGAGTATGTGACTGCAATTATAATCTTTAAAGCCTTCTGTTTAGAAAGCACGCTTGCTTGAACTTCAAGTTTCTAGGCAAATGTAAGGGTCATTTGTAAAAGCTGACTTTTTCCTGCTGCCAATAAGGATAGAAACCTTTTCTTCTATGCTCATTTCTTAGACTATTTTCTCAAGAAAAAAATTGTGTTTGTAAACTGTTCCTTAGTCCCTTTATTTAAAATGCATGTCAATTGTTTGAAAAGCTGACTAAGCCTCTTGCCAGAATTGCAACCTGCCAGTGTTGTGCTAAGGGTAAGAGAAGACAACTCTTTGGAAACAAAAACATCAAGAAAGATAACTTCCTATCTCCCTGGGCCCCTTGCTCCAAGCTACAACTGCCTGCTTGTCATAAAGAAATGTTATTTTTCCTTGGGATAAAGGTGACTGTCTAGCACAGAAGGATACCCCAATTACCAGGTGAATTTAGGATGGAGCCCTGAAAGAATGTTATAATACATGGTGGTGTTAGGCCTTATTACATGAAGACCAGTTATCATTTATCTCGAGAAGATGCGTGTAAGGGTTGTATTTCCTGGCTATATAAAGGGGTGAGATTTCTTTCTGTCTTTGTAATCTCTTTAGCAGATTACTGATGATGCACATTGCAGCCTGGTTTAATGCTTTTTAAATTTTATTTTATTTATTTATTTATTTTCGAGACAGAGTCTTGCTCTGTCGCCCAGTCTAGAGTGCAGTGGCACAATCTTGGCTCACTGCAACCCCCGCCTCCCAGATTCAAGTGATTCTCCTGCCTTAGCCTCCCAAGTAGCTGGGATTATAGGCAGGCGCCACAACACCAAGCTAATTTTTGTATTCTTAGTAGAGACAGGGGTTTCACCATGTTAGCCAAGCTGGTCTCGAACTCTTGACCTTGTGATCCACTTGCCTCGGCCTCCCAAAGTGCTGGGATTACAGGCGTGATCCACCGCACCTGGCCCTAATGCTTTTTTAATAGGAAAATTATTTTCTTTCTTTCTACTCCATAGAGAGTTTTGTAGACTGGCAGGAGATTTCATTTTTAACATTATTCTCCAATAGAAAGGAGAACAGACTTGACAGTTGTTGCCCCAAATTAGGTAAAAGATTGAGATTGGAGATCCCCCTAGGCCCATAATTTCTACCTTTGGTAACATAATGGAAGACATAGAACAACCCTCCCCTACACAGTCTCCTCAGTGGGACAGCCCAATTACATCCACTGTCCTGAGCACATGGACCCCTTTCTCTCTCAATCTTACCCATGTGATTCACTGAAGGAGCAGCTCCAGCCCAGATCACAGAACCATGTGAAGAACTGAAAACCCTACCTCCCCGAGAGGGCCAAGGGCAGAGCATGGACATATTCGATGGGTACCAAGGAGACATGAGAAAAATGAAAACATTGTCATGACTGTATTTTGGTATTCCAGAGTTTCTGCCTCGCTGCTATCAAGAACATCACCCTCACCTCTGGTGCTTCTTGTTAGTAATTCTTCCTCCTTGACCTCACCCTGGTTCTATGGTTATAAATCCCCACTTATCTTGGTTGAAGGCAGAGTGGAGCTTGAAGGAAACCAAACTATTTCACTCTCAGGAAAGGAAGATAAATCTTGGGGCCCCAAATCACTAAGTTAAAGGAAAAAGTCAAGCTGGGAACTGCTCAGCACAAACTTGCCTCCCACTCTATTCAAAGTCACCCCTCTGCTCACTGAGATAATTGCATATTTGATTGCCTCCTTTGCAGAGGCTAACCAGAAACTCAAAAGAATGCAACCATTTGTCTCTCATCGACCTATGACCTGGAAGCCCCCTCCCCACTTCAAGTTGTCCCACCTTTCTAGACTGAACCACTGTTCATCATACATGTGTTGATTGATGTCTCATGTCTCCCTAAAGTGTATGATACCAAACTGTGCCCCAACCACGTTGGACACATGTCCCCAGGACCTCCTGGAGGTGTGTCATGGCCATTTGTCCTCAACCTTGGCAAAATAAACTCTCTATAGTAACTGAGACCTCTCGCAGATTTTGGGGGTTCTTACCCTAAAAGAAAGTTTTTTGACAGATTTCAAGATGGCTATTCAGAAGGGCAGGAAATACAAGAATCGCTAAAAACTGTCTTTTATGGGAGAGGCTTGTGCCTGTAGAGAAACTCTGCTTGGATGCAGCCAGGCTTTCTCTAAGGTTTTCCCTTGGATTTAGGAAAGATTAACTGATGGTCTGACATCTTTAAAGGTCTGAAGAAAACATTCCCCATCTCTTCTCTTAAGTGCTGCTATCTGTGAGGTTTCATTGACATAATGTGCAAGAAAATTAAATGTTGGGACTCCAAATTCATTCAGCCAAAAGGAAAAGTCAAGCTGGGAACTGGATAACACAAATCTGCCTTCCTCTTTTGGTTCCTAAAGAAGATGGCTACAAGATGAAAGGCTACCCACCTCCCCCATATTTTGTCCACAAGGAAATTCCTGGTGAGCTGCTGAAACTTCACCATGGCAATGCAAATCGATAGCTTATCTTTACAGTGCAGTCACCTCCAGACACAAATGCATTTCCGATTGCTCCGCTACCCCATTTTGTCTGTGCTATCTTATGTAAAATGCAGATTCCCCACAGTTTTCCCCTGCTCCCTGTTGTTTATGTGAAAACTGTGCTCCTCTCAGTATCCTGCCCTTTCCCCTTTAAATTTGGAGCCCTCAAAACAATCTTCAGAGAAAGGCATAGACCTGTCTCCTGGGGGCATCCTCAACTTTGGCAAATAAATCTCCTAAAATTACTGAGACCTGTCTCATCATTCTTTGATTGACAGTAACAAGACCACCTCTGCTAGCCAGGCCTCCTCTTCTCTCCCTCCCATAACCTGTGTTGCCACTACAATCTGTTTTGCCAAGATTTAAACCCCCCTTCCATTTTTTTCTGTCAACTTAGATGGTTTACACGTTACTCTGTGGTTCTCCCCTACACATAGTCCTAAGTTTGCATGCCTTCTCTCTTTCTAATCTGCCTTTTGTTAGGTGAATTTTTAGTGAACTTTAGAAGGTTGGGAAAAATGTTTCCCTTGACCTCCACCAGCATGATCGCTCTCCCACGGAAAGACCCAAATGAAGTGTCCCCTATATCTAATGCCATGGTGCCCCTTGAGTGAAGTCTTTCTATGTTTTAGGAAATGTCATAAATACGTTTTTTTTATTTTTATTTTTTAACACCTTGTTGGACCATAAAGGATTGATCTACTGATAGACACCAGATTCTCAATCAGAGCTTTTCCCGAGGGAATTTGTCATGTGGAAAAAAGCTCAAGAAATGGCCAGGCATTGTGGCTCATGCCGGTAATCCCAGCACTTTGGGAGGCCAAGGTGGGCGAATCACCTGAGGTTGGGAGTTCGAGACCAGCCTGATCAACATGGAGAAACCCCGTCTCTACTAAAAATACAAAATTAGCCAGGCGTGGTGGCACATGCCTGTAATCCCAGCTACTCGGGAGTCTGAAGCAGGAGAATCACTTGAACCTGGGAAGCGCAGGTTGCGGTGAGCTGAGATCATGCCATTGCACTCCAGCCTGGGCAAGAAGAGTGAAACTCCGTAAAAAAAAAAAAAAAAAAAAAAAAGTCAAGGAATATGGGAGTCATGGGGGCTCTAGAGAGATACAAGAGCCACAGGTTGCTGGGGCTAAGATATCCTGAGCTGCACCCGTTTCTGAGCTATTCAAATCCCAGTTGTTTCACACTTGTCTTTATTTTTGGAGCCACCCAGGATCCTTTCAGCAACCACCTTACACTTGCATTAGAGCCTGTTTTTGTTGTTGCAAACACAAAAAACACACTCAAATAAGATGCTGTAACAGTAGTTCTCAAATCACAGCAACAACTCGAGTAGCTGTATCCTAGGAGGTTCAAACTCTGTGTTACCTGTTGCTGTGGTTTGATGTGTTCTCCAAGGCCCATGTGTTGGAAACTTCATCCTCAGAGCAATAGTGTTGAGAGGTGGGACTTTTAAGTGATACTTAGGTCATGAGGGATTTTCCTTATGCATGAATTATTGCTGTTTTCTCAGAGGCAAGTTAGTTATTGGGGATTGAAATCCTGATAAAAAGATGAGTTTGTTCTCTCTCTCTCTCTCTCTCTCTCTCTCTCTCATGACTCCAGAATTGTAAAAAAAAAAAAAAATCTCTTTTCTGTATAAATTACCCAGTCTCAGGTATTCCATTATATTAGCAGGAAATGGACTAAGACACTACTTTATAAAATGTTGCAATTCCCAACGTTCAGCTTTTCCTTGATCTGGCTTCTTCTACATGTTTCTTTGCTTGTTACTGATGGTGAAATTTTCCTGTTGTCTCTCATTAACGGCTTACACTATCACATGCTCTCTATTAATTCATGTCTTCTATTTCCTTCTGTTGCTTTTCTGTAAGCATCTCTTTTCATGTGTCTCATTTTTAGGCTCTCTAAGACATATCATAAAACTCAGCTGATTCCTCACTATCATGCATAAAGCTGTGTTCGGGGGAAGTTCTCCCTCCTGACCTGCTGCACCATCACACAGCCAGAGTGCTGCCTTTGCTTTATTTGCACATTC